AGATTTTATAACACTGTTATCACGATATTAATATTTGTAAATATTTGCTTACCTCTTTATTTTCTTTGGAAATGATATATAGGACTTCCCAACTTGTGTCCCTGTGAGTCCCGAAGACGTGAGAAATTAGGGTTCGTTTGAGGATAAAGGTTCTCTCACTCATCTATTCTTTTTTCCCACTGTCAATAGTCTTGAATCATTTTTGTAAAGATTACGTAAGCATTCAAAGCATAAACATCAATCTTGCCGTAAAATAACCTCATTGGTTATTGACGAATACGCTATCAAGATGTGTAATTGTTGATCCATCTCACAGTTCAGATGGTATTTCCTGCGTGATAGCTCGTAATGTTAGTTTCTTCTCCAGTAGATATTCACTCAGAAAATATGCACTCACAAAATATGGACGTAAAACGGTTATTACAAGAAACTCTTAGAAACTCAAAAAGCTATCAGTTGTGAAATTATAACCATCAGTGAATAATGATTGTACCAAATGCTTTACCATTTTCCATGCAAAATGTATTGCATCATGTTCATCTTTTCTTTTTCCGTAGTATATTTTGCCATTAGTAGTGTATTTATGTGTTCATGATTTGCGTCTCTTGCCAAGTAAATAACGGTCTGGAATGAAAAATAATACATTCCAACACCATAAATGTGTTTCTTATGTGTTTAAAGATCCATTAAGGAAAAAAAGACGACCCATTTAGTGGAAACCACGACTACCTGCAGAAGAGGGGAAAAATGTCGAACAATATCATGGCTCACTGGGCCATTCTTTGGCAGAAGAAAAGAAACATAACAAAAGAAGGTATCATGAAATGACACACCTGTAATGTTAACGGAAAAATATTTACAGCATTAGGAAACACAGCCGGACCTCTGAAGCCAACTAAGTGCACTGAAGGGTAAAAAACCGCTCAAAAGTTTTCAACGAAATTTGTCTCCATTACCAAGCTTCATGTCTCTATAATATTCTTAAAATCATACTTCATTTTAACATTAGGAGACCGAAAAATTGAGAAAATACAAAAAGTCTTTCAGGTGCCAATAGATGTCAGCTGGGAAGACGCTTGGACAAAACTGAAAAGATAAACCCGAATGAAGAGATAAAGAAACTAAGTAGTCCGAGATTGAATGTGCAGCTTTGTAACACCACAAATTTCTTGTAATACAGCGAAAGTTATGTAATGCTACGGAAAATTGTTTTCGAGATTTCAATGGAAATACACATTTTGGTGTCCCATAATACCCAAGTGTTATGTTCATCCGTCCGTGAACAACCCTATCTCCTAAACTATTCGAAGGATTTTTTCCAAAATCAATGTTCTCTAATCGATTTGGACCGACTCGAAGCTCCACGATTTCGAAAATCATTCGTTAAATTTGGGGAAATTTACATCAAGCCCCCTAAAAACGTTTCGAAATTTCTCAAAAATTGTTTCAATTTTTCACCTTTTCATTTTTTATAAGAACTGAGTGAATTACACCAATGAAGATGACGTATGGCCAATTTTCACTTTTAAATCTGAATTTTCGGAAACTACAAAGGTTTGATTTCTTCCGGCGTTTTCCTACAACTTCAACATTGTAGATAAGAGGTGTTTCTTAAAATGAAATTTGTTCTCCATAGTTAGTTCTTTCATTAACTTCATGTTTTCGCGCAATTGTGTGAATTATAGACAATATTTAAAAAAAGCCAAATATAAGAAATTCTCAAAAAACATATTGCACTACATTATTACTTTTTTGTTGTAAAACCATAGTGCCCCACAACCTACTTTTTGTGATACGACACATGTGTAAGACAGTTACTAGACATTACCCTTACATGCACTCACAAATCTTGAATTTAAAAATATTTTACAAATTCAAGAAAACTCGTTATATTAGTTTATTTGGCAACAACCTTACACTAACATGTTTGCTGAAAGATGAAATGTGGAATGATTTCGATAGATTACAAAGATCACGGTGCAATAAAGAACAAATGACAGAAGAAAAGTGTACTTTTCTTTTAGATTTTAATGTTATATTAATAAAATATATGATAATAACTAATATTAAAATGTTATTTAGTTAGCAATAAAACATCTGCAGCCCTCTACATTTTATTAAAAGCAAAATGCAAGAACTTTGGCAAAGTAGAAAGAAAGAGCGGCATAGGGGCTAAGGTGTGTGGTCCTATCTGATCTATCTGTAGCGCTTCTTGGAGACGAGGGTCTATCTAATTAAAGAGTGAGCTGAGTGGGAAGGGCACAGGGGCTAGGGTGTGTGGTCCTACCTGATCTATCTGTAGCGCTTCTTGGAGACAAGGGTCTATCTAATTAAAGAGTGAGGCCTGTGGGAAGAGCACAGGGGCTAGGGTGTGTGGTCCTACCTGATCTATCTGTAGCGTTTCTTGGAGACGAGGGTCTATCTCATTAAAGAGTGAGGTCTGTGGGAAGGGAATTGGGGCTAGGGTGAGTGTTCCCATCTCTACTACATGTAGCGCTTCTTGGAAACTGGGGACTATATGATTAAACAGCGAGCTCTGCAGGAGAGACGTTGGGGTTGGGGGTATGATCTATCTGTACATGATCTATCTATACGTCTTGGAAACGAGGCTCTATATGGTTAAAAAGCGAGGTCTGCAGTAAGAGGATTGGAACTATGTTGTGTCCTACCTGATCTACCTGTAGTCTATTGAGAGGCTATATGCTTAAAGAGACTTTTACGGGGCACAGCACAGGCATTAGCACTAGGGTATGTGTGGATATCGCTTGAGTGCTTAACGCCGTAGCGAGGGGCTATGATGTTAAAAAGCGAGATTCGCGGGAGAGGCATAGGGGCTAAGGTGTGTGGTCCTACCTGACCTATCTGCAGCGCTTCTTGGAGACGATGGTCTATCCACTTAAAGAGTGAGTCCAGTGGAAGGCATAGGCTTGGGTGTGTGTTCACCTGATCAATCTGCAGCGCTTCTTGGAGGCAATGCGAAGCCGACATTAGCAAGAATGGCTACACCTACCTGCCTTCCCTGTCGCTTCTCGAGGCTGGGGAGATGCCTACCTGATCTTCCTTGTATCAGGTTTCTTGGAGACAAGGTCGTGAGTCTAATTTAAAGAGTGAGGTCTGTGGAAGGCATTGGCTAGATAATTCCTACCTGATCTATCTGCGAGCGCTTATTGGAGCAATGCGAAGACGTTAGCAAGAATCTTACGACCTACCTGCCTTCCCTCGTCTGCTCTCGGAGCGGGGAGATCCAACCTATCTTCCTGTTCGTTTCTGAGACAGGTCTTATTAATAAATAGTGAGTCTTGTGAAGGGCATTGGGCTAATGAATCCTACTGATCTATCTGCAGCCGCTCTTGAGGCAAGTGAAGGACATAGCAAGAATCTACGACCACCTGCCTTACCCTCGTCTGCTTCTCGGAGGCTGGGGAATGCCTACCTGATCTTCCTGTATCGTTTCTTGGAGACAAGAGGTCATCTAATTAAAGGTAGGTCTTCGAAGGCATGGCAGATAGATGCCTACCTTCTATCTGCAGCGCTTATTGGAGGCAATGCGAAGGACAGTTAGCAAGAACGTACGACCTACCTGCCTTCCCTCGTCTGTTCTCGGAGCGGGGGAAGGCCCTACCTATCTTTCCTGTATCGTTTCTGGACAAGGTCTATCTAAGTAAAGAGTGGAGGTCAGTGGAAGGGCCATAGGGCCTAGGTGATGTGGTTCACCTGATCTATGCAGCGCTTCTTGAGGCCAATGCGAGAACAGTTTAGCCCAAGAATGCTACGACACCTGCCTTCCCTCGTCTGCTTTTCGGAGGCTGGGAGATGCCTACCTGATCTTCTGATCGTTCTTGAACAAGTCTATCTAATTAAAGAGTGAGGTCAGTGGGAAGATAGCTAGGGTGTGTGGTCTACCTGATCTATCTGCACGCTTCTTGGAGGCAATGCGAAGGACGTTAGCAAGCATCTACACCTACCTGCCTTCCTCGTGCTTCGTCGAAGGCGGGGAATGGCCTACCTGATCTCCTGTATCGTTCTTGGAGACAAGGGTCTATCTAAATTAAAGAGTAGAGTCATGAACAATAGGCTAGTGGGTTCTACCTGATCTATCTGCAGCGGACTTCTTGGAGCCAATGCGAAGACAGTTTAGCAAGCCATGCTACACCCTACCTGCCTTCCCTCGTCGCTTCTCGGAGGCTGGGGAGATGCCAACCTGATCTTCCGTATCTTTCTTGGAGACAAGGGTCATCTAATTAAAGATGAGGCTGTGGAAGAGCATTGGCTAGATAATCCTACCTGATCTGATCTGCAGCCTTTGGAGCCAATTGAAGGACATAGCAAAATGCTACGCCTAACCTGCTTTCTCTGCGTCTGCTTCTCGGAGGCGGGGATGAGGAGATGCTACCTTAATTCCTGTATCGTTTCTTGGAGACAAGGGTCTATCTAATTAAAATAGTGAGGTCTGTGGAAGGCATGCTGGCTAGATAGCATCCCTAACCTGCTCTATCTGCGCCAGCAGCTTCTTGGAGGCGAGGCCGTAAGGACAACTGGGCAAAATTTACGACCTACCTGCCTTCCCTCGTCATGCTTCTCGAGGCGTGTTGGGGGGGGAGAGACCTACCTGATCTTCCTATCGTTTCTGGAGACAAGGTCTAATCTAATAAAGAGTGATCATGAAAGGCATAGCGGCTAGGGTTGTGTGGTTCTACCTGATCTATCTGCCAGCGCTTCTTGGACAAGCGAAGACTTAAGCAAGCATGTTACGCTACCTGCCTTCCTCGTCTGCTTCTCGGAGCGGGGGGGAGAGCTAACCTGATCTTCCTGTATCTTTCTTGGAGACAAGGGTCACTCTAATTAAAGAGTGAGTCTGTGGTAGGCATTGGGCATAGAATAAGATCCTACCTGCTCCTATCGTGCCAGCGCTTCTTGGAGGCAAGCGAAGACAGTTAGCAGAATGTTTACGAACCCTACCTGCTCCCTCGTCTGCTTCTCGGAGCGGGGGAGATGCCTACCTGATCTTCCTGTATCGTTTCTTGGAGGCCGGGCGGCGGTGCGAGCCGCAGCAGTCGGCGCCCTGGGGGCCCGTCACGGCCGTCGCCTCCAGGCCCTTGCCGGACAGCTGGCACTCGAACTCCACGGGCTCCTCGTCGCCCAGGCTGCGGAAGCCGCTCATCCGGATCACGCTCTGCGCACGCGCGCGCGCCAAGTCACTCGCGGGGAAGCCAGCGCCATGTTGGAGCGCGGGGCGCGCCTGAACTACTTGGCTGCCCGGGAGGCGCCGCGTGCTAGGCACAGGCGGCAACGTGTCGCCGACACCCTGCGACCTCACTTCCGTTTCGCCCTGAGGAAGGTCGCAGAATGGCGGCCTAAACGTCGGCACCTGTTTCTAGGACGTGTCGTGTCCCATGCAGCCACGTAGTTCCATCGTCATGTCATTTTGGAAAAAAATGTATTTACTGGTTTATTTTAAGAATTGTAGTTTTATACTATCGGAAAACAAAACTGCCATCAGATGGATAAAAGTTGGTATACGAGTAAAAGCGTAGGACGCTATTTATTACTCAAAGGGAAAATATTAGTTTTATTATTTTTTGGCTCGGAATTGCTTTTATTGAGATAGAATGCAGGAAAAAATCCATTATTTTTTAGTATACAAATGATTTTTCAATTTTCGTCCCCCAGCAAACTGGCGCACTGCCCCTTCAAAAAGTTAAATACTGCAATGATTAAGATTGTACGAGCTCGATCCTGTATTTTCCCAATGGAAAATTTACTTGGCTTTCTCAAGAGTAAGAACATTAAAAAAATGTGTTGTGCCTATCAAGGAAAGCGAAAAGCTAACTGACAAGAAACTTCGTATGTTTTTAAGGAAGTCTGAATTGTTCGAAAACATCTCTACAATACTGAATAAACCTTTATTAAATTTCCAACTTGAATTGCATTGTTTTTATTTATGATTGATATTGAGTAGGCACGAAGTTATATTTATACATTTTTTAACAAATACACACGTTTCATTAACAACTTCTTAATGGAAAGGATAGAGAATTTGATAGGGAAAGGGTGGGGATTAACAGGCGAGAGTTCTCGCACGTGTAAGCAAGTAGAAGCCTAATGGTGCTACAACAAGACGTACTTTCTCGCGTCAGTACACGTTACGTAAAATTGTAATTCATTCCCAATTTATTTCCATATTAACAATCTCAGCCATCAGAACTCATTACCAATCGTATCGTATTAGCAGTGGAAATATAATTCATTTAAAGATAATTCATCAACACAAAACCAATTTTCATCGGTAATCGAATACTTAAATCCATTCACTCAGACACCGCAGTAAAATGACGTGCCTTTAACAACAATAAATGTGTAAAATGTGTTTGCAAATTATCTTTCTATTATTTATTTATTTATTTATTTATTTATTTATTTATTTATTTATTTATTTATTTATTTATTTATGTACGTATTTATGTATTAAATTTTATATATTTATATATTAAACAGTTAAAAACTGTGTGTGACGTGCTATGGGCAGAAGTTAATTTGAAGTTACATTTGTGTCCAGAAGCAAAACTAGGGGCCATCTCAGTATTTGCTCGAGGATCAGGGAAACTGGAAGAAAACGTGATCGAGATGGTGGCCATTGAGCCAGAAGCTGAAGTACAATACTTGTTACAGGTTCTGTAGGCTTATACAATACAATAAATATCATTGTTAAAATCAATATAACGCTCCTTTTGGATGCTCAGTATAGTCTCTAACAGTTGTGCTGCAGAAAAGATTTTACTCGGGTTTAAACGTTTGTACGGAATGTAATCGTTTAGTGTCATTGGGCAAGGTGTTATAAAATGATGTACATGTATTGTATGTGGATTTTTTGTACTGAAATGTCTATACTGTCACCTGATGAATACCATTACTACGTCGAGTATTGTAGTTATAGTCATCAGATTTTGCTGAAAATATATTGCCGCTCTTAAGTAAGTTATTTATGGAAAACCACTGATTCATATATCAAGAGACAAGGTAATGGTAAAATTCCTAGATTAATAAAGAGAGACTTACAAGAATCACGTGGGTCGGATTTACTTATTATTCGTAGTTATTATTGTAATCTAAAAGTCTGGGAGCTATAAGATGTATTTCCACAAAATATTATGCCATACCTCAGGTGGAAATGAACATTTACGAAATATACACAACGAGCAGTATGGAGGCTAACTGGATTTGAAAGAATTCTGAAAGCGTAGCATAATGAACTTAATTTTATGTTCAATTATTTTAAATAAACGTTCTACTTAAGGTTTGACTGAATTGAAAGACCTAAAAATTTTACCTTATGTTCATTCTTTATGTTACCTTAACATCAGTCAATGGCACACCTGATCATTTGCAATGGAGTATAGAGCTGTTTATTTGAAATGGAGAACTGCATTGAAACAGTTTTCTTTTCATTTACGCAACCAATTTGAAATATCGAATATCGTTCTATTTACGGTTTCTTTATTGCAAAGAATATTCGCATTATCCGGTTCTAATCCAATCGGTCTACATGTTTAGTTTTGACTGTCTATAAAAATCCGGACAGAATTCTAATGACAGTCTAAAAAACTTAAAACAAGAAATACATAAAGAACAAAATAATTTCAGAGGAAAGTTTTCACAAACATTTTGTAATAGATTGTCAACGCTTATGCAGAACGCTGAAGTAACAGTGAAACTAAGAAATTGCACGTGATGTCGTCCTACTTATCACCCTATTCTGTTGCGTTGTACATGCAGTGCAAGGAAGTTACATATAGTCTCATACTTCTTTCAGATTTTCGAGTAATAATTAATAACAAAGTGAACCAATGTCTGATATAGAGGTGTTAATTTAAACATTTCCATAGTCCTTTAGAGAATGAAACTCTCAATATTTCAATACACTCGGTAGCATTGCACTTATATAATCTCAATTGCATTCTGCATACCCTAATATATAAGATATATATCCTAACATATTATAGATTTCTGAGCGGTGCAGAAACATAGATTAGATGGGAGATAACTTAATTAGTTCAAGCTATGAATAGTGGAATGACCGAAATGAATGTACTAGCTTTCTAACAATTGAGGGTACGTAGCAATATATGTAAGGCGAATTTATCATATTTAACAAATAGGTGGCATTTAAAACTACACTTTTCTCACTCTGCACGCTGATTAAAAAGTTAGCATATACTCATGGGTGCTAGTCATAAGTTTAAACTAGATAGTAATGACTAGTTAATAAGACAATGTACTGTAATAATGCACGATCATTTAGTGACGTTTTCATTCTTTTTAAATAATAAGCATTAAAGCAATAAAATCCAAGCCAAAAATATCATTGAAGCACTTCAAGACCATGTTGGCAATGCTACCCGTATAAGGAAGTCAAGAGTTGCGCACGCAGCCATCTTACCATTTCCCGCTTGGCTTCACTAGCAGGGGCAGTACTGCCAATCAGGTTCTGTATGTCTGCGCTCATACCAGGGTTTATTGATGAGCGATTTATATTTTAAGTACAGCTTCGTGCGGTTTAAGCGTTCGTGGTCAACACTATTCTCGCGAGTGGCACTGATGGTAACGTATTGCTACGTAACGCGTGTTGTCGATGTGCGACTGTTTTCCCGTGTAACATGCTGTGCATTTGTTTCGTCTCCAATAAGCTTGACGCGAAGCAGCAGGGGCAGGCGGCCGTTGTTTCCTCGTCGCTGCACGGGGTGGAGACTTCAAACAGGAGCCCAAAAAAGATTTAGAGGATTCAAGCTATTTATGTGTTGCTCGAAGCGATTGACATCGGCTTAGGTGGCTCAGGGCATCAACTGATGTCACTGCAGTGCCTATGACCGGGATGACCGAGTTCGACTCCCGGCGGTGAAGGGACTTTCGACACTCTCTTGAGAGTTATACTTCGATTAAAACACGAGGACCGGTAATACACCGGTGACACAGCTATGTCGCGTTCGGCTTCTGCTTGGAGGTGAAATCTTGCTGCCGGCTGTTCTGATCGGTAGCTTTGCGTGTTATTACTCCGATAAATACCACGCGAGTGCCGGAGCTCTAACCCTGCCAATCGGGCCATGGACCGTGTGAAATAATAAATTTCTTCTTCCTCGGCCTCTCCTCACCCCTCACACACACACACACACACACACACACACACACACACACACACACACACACACACACTCACACTCTTACATGCACTGTACTACCACATATGCCGGGAGCTTAAAACTTGGGGCGGTGCCATGCTGCTGGGAGATATCTGGTGAGGAACCCCCTCCCCTCCCCGACGTGCACATGTCGGCGCCGGATATCGCCATCCACCACCACCTCTCGCGATCAAAACATGCACTGCATGTACAAAACTAATGAGCTTAGCAGTTAACCCGCCCGGGCTCACCAATCAATTGAAGGGATTGGCGAAAAGAATAATCGGTAATCGCAACTAGCAGCTTTCGCAAATATTGTGCAGAGAGAATTTTGTTAATTTGACGGGTCAACATGGGATTTTCCTTTTTTGATTTTGACACTTATTTTATATGTAAGCCAAGAATTCCTTTACGTTTGTTTTATTACGTACCAACTTGTAATAATATATGTAATTGTATTTTCAGTAAATATAATGTGCTATATTTATGGAATTTTATGGTTGCAGCGAAATGGAGGTCAGGATAAAGTGTAGGGCACTCATGACGTGTACTATGTTTGTGTTGCACAAAAAACAAACTACTGAAAGGCAAAGAGGAAGGCAGTAGGTTTGGGAGTTCCTATTATATCGCCAAAGCCAAAGAACCATCTACACGATTGCAATTTTTGTATTTGCAAAGTAGAAAGAGTCTAAGAGCAATTACTAAGAGCAAACAAGGAATATTTTATCTTCATTTGAAGTCTGCTTCAAAAGCTGAACCACATGGCACTGACTACACCGGAACAACCTTCGAAATTCGAGGTACTGCATTCTGATTCAAGTTCAATACCAGAGAAATCGGCTGAAGTATCTGATTGGACGAGAACAGAAAACTTGAAATCTTAACAAAATTATTTCATCAGGTCAGGGAATTATTTATTGAATATTATATCCACCCGTGATTGTGTTACTCGATGTACTTGTGCTCACTATTGTATATTATTAATAGCAAAATTATGACGTGATTTAATGACCTATTAGTTTTACAGATATATCTTTTGATTACATTTTTTTATACTATCGTAGTACTACGTACTACTACATTAGGATAACAAACCAAGCTTTACTTATAGTTATAAAATCATGTACCGATAATGCATTGTTTTCATGAGGTTAATTGGTCTACAAATATCAGTTAATAAAGATAGTAAATACTTGGAGTAATGTTTAAAAATTCTCTTCGTTCTTAGAGAGAACAGAGCGATTTAAATCCATACGAACCTTGTTTTATTATTAAGCACATAATAGTATCTGAATAGCAACACTATTCAGCTGTTAACGTGCTGCCGTAAATACATTAATAACCATTTAGAAAGAAATGTCAGTATTTGTTTCCATAAGAACATAAATGCGTGAAGCTGATTCCCCTATTGCTTTTTTCTAAACTGAGATATTTTCAGATTTCAATAGAAGTATGAGCCAGTATTTCTTTTGAAAAGTACTTGAATGCATGTTTAAAGAAATCTCCTCTGGAGACGACAAAACATTGCAATTAACTCAAAATATGGGAGTAGACAATAATTAAGCCGCAGACCCATTTGCTAATTACTTATTAAATATTAGAGAAAGAAAATATATGGTATACAGAAAATGTATAGAGTGTGAAAAGTAGGTAATGAAGACGGGAGTTTACTTGCACATATTTTTTGTCTACATTTGTACGAGTAGTTTCTGCAATTTTGGCTGCAACAAATGAGGACATGGATCCTACAAATTCAAAGACCATGCATATGTTTCCCGGTAAAATTGTAACATATTTTTCAATAGACATTGTTCTTTGTGGTACTCAACTTATGCACTTTCCTGATGAATTTTTGGATTCCCTTGAAACTCCTGGGATATTGGCAAAAATGATATACAACCCTTTAACATTTGTTTCCTTGTAAATAGTGTTAAAGTTTGGTAGAGAGCAGAGTTACAGTAGTTTCTGATATTAAGTCCTTATAGTTTGTTATAGTCACATTTTACTTTTAAGTGATTTTTAGCTTGATAAAGGATATGGATATTTGCTTCTGAGCCCTTGAAGGGGATTTATAAAATCCATGCATGCTCAAATACAGCAAATATATGCCTTCTCGTTAGCGAGTTCAATTAGTAAAATGAAGAATCAATACCTCACACACTTCAGATCTGAACTGGTGAGGCAGTGGTGGTGATGCGGTTACCACACTGAATGCGGAAACTTCTATGCTAATGTTTTTGCATACTTTTGTATCCAGTATTGGTAATGATATTCACTTATTTCTTTGCTTATTTCAATAAAAATGTCATCTACCGCTGCTGTACAGGTGTTTGAGAATAAATGTGACAATCTTCTAGCGCAAGGAGAGAGAATTATATATAGGTCGCAGGCCGCGTTCTCACATCGTCAAGATTTCATATACCTGCAGAACACATGTGCACACGGGATTGCCTAATGTCAGGGGCAAAAATATCACTAGTGTAACTCCGTTTGATGAACTTTTCCGAACACTTTCCTTGGCAAAAAGTAATTATTTTCTAATCCTCTCCGCTTCCCAAGTTTGTGACATTCATTTTAACACACCTTTACACATGTTCACTGCTTTAAAGTCACGCAGTAATATGTGGGTCTAATGTACGAAATGTACCAAATTAATAACCCTGCTTTTAATTTTACTATATATAAATGCATATATTTATTATCGCATTCAAAGACGAAAATTAATGATTATATATAAACATAACTAATTTTCAATACGCCCAGAAATTGAAAAAAAACTATGCAGCGTTCAATATTTTGAGAGGTATTTGTAATTTTATTTCATATCCAGGAACTCGGAGAAAATTCCAAAACAATGAAAGTTGCGATTTTGACTGAAAATGCAATTATTTAATTGTATTATTTATCTTGCTTTCATACTGTTCGTACCTGATTAATTTCGTATGCAGTGCGTCACTACTTTCGACACAGCTGACGATGTGAGAGCAAGGCTGAAAGGAAGAGACCTTCCAACATTAAATATTTGCTATTGACGTATTGCGTTATGGAACAGCAACTTTTTTGATTTTCTTGGCAAGGGGAGAAGAGTTGTACTGAAAATTTATTATACATTGTTATTACAGTATTCGTGCAGAACATTTTTGTTAGAATGTATTTTATTTGTTGGTCTTGAGAAGTGTGTATTGTGTGTGTGTGTGTGTGTGTGCGCGCGCGCGCGCGTGCGGTGTGTATGCGCGTGTGAGCGCATGCAAACTGATATTCGAATTCCGAGCGCGCGGCAGGAAGGAGTTCTGTAATGACGGCAGAGATAGCGCTGCCAGAAATCGATTTCGGACAAGAGTTCCGAGTCGGAAGCCGGAAGCGAGGTTTGGGAAAGCAACTGCCCGAGAGTAGAGTTCCTCTTTTCTACAGACATATCCTCTTTTTTATAATGCAAAACTGACCGGGTGGATTAAAAGTGACCTAGGCGTATGATATACGAAGTATACTGCAATTGAATTAAACTTTTTCGAGTCCCCAACATCATAACATTTCGATGTTTTATGAGATTTAAATGACATTTAACTTGAACTACGCTTCAACTATCACCTTAAACAACAAACAAAATCCATGAAACTAGCGGTACTGCAGAATGGCACAGACTTTCTCGCATTCGTTTTCTTTTTTCTTTGGTCTGGGCTAGCTATTCTCACTTGCCCTCTATCGCCACCCAAAGAACATTTTTTTGAAATTTTCCCAACTTTTCGGTTTCCTAATAATATAACAGAATTATTACTTTAAGAATATTAAAAAAGAGTAAATATTGTCCTAAATGGCAATTATCTGTGAAAAATTTGAAGCCGTCTTTTTTTAAAAAAGAAAGGTGTTTAAACGTTACTGTGAAAGCGAAATTTGAACCTCTTTTCACAGAAAACTACTGAGCTCTCGAAAAACTTCATAGAAAGTCATTGAAAGCACTTCTAGTCACAAATGCAATAGTGTTTACAAATTGATGGAAATGTTCATATTAAAGGCGTGAGAGATATTTAAAAAATATTACATTTGTGTAGTTTTTGAAAAAACAAGAAAATACAGGAGAATTAATTCTATGTCATCTTAAACAGTGCAGTCATCACTATTCGTTAGAAAAGTTTGAAGAAAAAATGTGGAGGAATTATTGCTGGGTTGGCTGTATTCATATGAAACAGGGTGATTGTCAGCCTTCGTATTTGATAATATATTTGTCTAAAAAGAATCACAAAATAGAGAAAAACAAGGTCAAAAAAGAATATTTGAATGGAACATTAAAAAACTCATTTGTTTCATTTGCCCTTTTATTCATTATAAAGTTGGCCCGTATTTCTCAACTAAGATTGTTTGCTAAGTTGCACAGAAACTCATGATGCGATAGCTCATTTTCTCTTTCTAGAATCACCACTGAATCTCTCCCTACTTAATTTCAATAGTCTGTGAAACATTCTTGTTAAATGGTACGTGAGAGTATGATTTACTCATTTTATAAAATAATTCAAACCCAACGGAATACATTATGAAAAATATAAAGTTTTTGACGGCAGTTTAGTCCGATTAGTCATTGTCACAAAAATGAGACATTTTGAGGACATCCCGTTTTTCTTATTAAAAAAACCTGGTCAGGGACTGAGAAAATGCACTGTCCCGGTTAATATGGGTCGCCTAGTTACCAGATACCTCCTCGTGTGATTAAGATAATATCGTTCATCAAGAGTGTAGATATTTCAACTGGATTTCCTTAATTGTTGCGAAGATATTGCTTTGTTTTGCTGCCCATGTGTTTCGTACCCTTCTGTTGAACAGAAACGCAAGCGCCGTTGTTAAATGTCTCGAAAAGTATGTGGGACTTCAGCTTTTGTCAAAACTGACTTAATGGGGGGGAACATATTTTCACACAGTACCGAAACACGTCGTAGAAATCTTATTCGTCAGATGTCCATGTTAAGAGCTCACATTATACAATACATATTGATACAAAAGTTTGCGTTCAAAGTAAATCTTTTCGATTGCATTTCTGTTTCAATACAATTAGAGACTATCGTGCCAAACAGAAAGAAAAATATTCATATCAACAATGTATTATTTTACATTTATTTTGCATAACTTTAAAACTATTAAATATGCCTGTAACAAATAATGTACTTCCGTATAAATGACTCTCCATATCTCACCCAAGTTTTTGTCCAGTTTTCCTAATCCACTGAACAAATGCGAAGACCCCTGTTTTGCTTCAGGTGCATAGCTTCACTGTGCACACGTTTTGTTGAGCTGTCCATTTGCTAGTAGTGGTAGGAGTAGAGACGGTTATGGGTTTCTAGGAGTAAAGCTAACCGGTTCATCTATTCTCAGGAGGGGGGGGATTTAAGGAAAAATTCGGAGCATTTTTTGAGAATGAAAAATTAAAATTTGTTAAATGTTATTCAAACAATAATTATGAGAAAACTACTCGTTTTTTCAACAATATGCATGACCATATTTAAAGATATGTTTAAGAATAAATTTCAATAGTTAAAAACATCACTATTGTACTTTTGCAATGCACTTTTTTTTTGCAATTTTCAGAAAGTAGAGTTCGCCGAAAATGGGGGCCTCCGTAATTTTTAGTATTCTTTAATTCTTCAATTCCTCTTCTTACTCTTAATTTTTACTATTCTAAATGCCTTCAATTCAATGAAAATTCGCGAAAACTACAGTCTTTTCAAAAAAAGAAATTGTACAAACTTTTTTAAAGGTATAAGTTTTCAAAACAGAGTTCCGTAAGGAAATATATGTATTTTTATTAGTGTAGTTATAAGAAGAGGCCGAAACAATTTTGAACTATTGCAATTGGAAAAATTCAGAGATTTAAACGAAAATCGAACCTGCGCCATTTTTTAAACTTTCTATCGGAGGGCAAAACTGAATTAAAAAATTTCTAGCAATAAGAGGTTTTCTGTCAAAAAATCGCCAATTTCCGGCGCACGATAACAAGACATTCTCTTCCTATGAAGTAAGGCGAGCAATTAAAAAAAAGTAGAGTTCAGTGGACAATTAAAAAAAACTGTATTTTGGAGGCGAGTGCTCACCTGGTGCACGAAGACGTCCTGGCCGCCGTCGTCGGGCGTGATGAAGCCCCAGCCCTTGGCGACGTTGAACCACTTGCAGCGGCCGCGGCGGCGGCCGAGAGCGGCGGCGGCGGCGGCAGCAGCAGGCCTCGGCTCCTCCTGCGCGCCCGCCGACCCTGCGCACCACACATGCACGGCGTTAAGGCGGCTGCACGCGTGCCAGCGAAGAGGAGGGCCACAGTAGAGTAGCAATACTCAGAAATGAATGTTTGGTATTCCAGCCTGCGGTTTTCTTTTGCGGAAATTTAAAGTACAGTTCAATTAGAAACTGTCAAGCGACCTAAGGAGTTGGTAAAGGGGCTTGCACCCGGGGACCAGCTCTAAGGGCCGCGACTATAGCCGTGCGATAGATACTCATGCATGCTTGAGAAAACAATTATCAAATAGTGACACACGTATTCGTTATTCGGGGACCAGCCAACGACCGCTCGCCGAATCCCAGTACTGTGGATGAGTTGCTTCCATTTGCCGAGAGGCGAACATTCGGCGCTCTCTATAACCACAGCGTGAGGGGTCTTTTGGAAACAGAAAGGAAGCGAACATCAGCTGCTCGGGTTTGAGCAAGCAAGAGATCGCTGCTCGGCGAATGCGAAACGTGTGTGTGTGTGTGTGTGTGTGTTTATAGTTTTCTTTAAGAAGGGAATAGCCCCACCGCATCAGCTTCTCCTCTTCCCACTTATCGTTACCTGAAAAGGAAATGCTCCCCCGTTTCGTTCATCCGGTGTTTCGGAAGGAGACGAATGTTTTGTTACGTTTGCATTCATAAGTAGCTCAAAAAGATGTTCTCGGAGTAGTCCAGAGAAAACCTCGAACACAAGTGAATATGCAAGAATCTTCGGAATTGTGTATGTTAAATCAACAAAATAACAAGATGCTCGTGTTAGGTGATTTCATGTTTTGTTCCCCCAAAGTTTTAGGCAGTGATTTTCAAAGTTGCCAGTTCTCTAAAAGGACATGCAAAAGTTTCTTGAAAACAGACAGAAGTGGATGAATTATAATCGATCAATGTGGCTCAATGTGATTGTATGCAGACCATGAGAAACGTAGAAAACAATAATCATACTAATGAGGAAAACAGACGGGAGGGAGTCGGGGTATATAATTTGCGGATCAGAAGGAAAATGGGGGTTTAACCCACATGTAAATTGCGGACCGACCCAGAGAAGGGCGTACATAAGTTGCTGACCGACTACCTCATCCCCTTCCAGATAAAAGTGGAAGGTGACACTTTATTTTCGAATCACATTTTCATAGACATTAGTTTTATAACACAACTCCCTCACCAATTTTCCAGATTTAAGGCATATTTCGTTCGAAATATGGTTTGGTTAAAGTTGCTTTCCATTCAATTGAATTATTCGTTGATTGAATAAATTCTGCTTTTCATGCCAATTTATATTCTCACATTTTCTCAGCTAATATTCTATAGCGCCAAACTTGAAATTTGGACACCCTTACAGTGCTTTCTTTGGTTTTAATTTTGATTTAAGAGCGAGCCTGGAAGATTTTTTAATGAGCCACAAGAAAATACTGAACAGCAGCGCGGCGGCGGAGGCGGCGGTCTCCCTAACGCGCTTATCTGCTCAGTAAGTCTGTTTCCTTACCGGGGTTGGTATTTTCCGCAATTTACATGTGGAATTAAAAAGTAAGTTTCGAGAGAAAAGATCGAGGGACTATTTGGTCCGCAATTTACATACAGCTGATGGAGTCGGGCCGAGCCTTTAGGTAGGTGAACGGCTTAGGAAAGGTGATGCCTGCTTTCGAAGGGCGCGCACTCCTATCTGTCTGTGAAATCTCTACTTATACGTCGTATAAGCCTCTACGTATATCGGTTAAATTAGAGCAGAGCCAGCATGCTTCTTCAGTGGATATGATCCAAGGGTTGGAGGGTTCAAATCTTGATGGTGGCCAATTTTCGACACTAGCTACATAGCCAGGTCAAAGTAATCCTGTCTGAAGGAGAATTCAAGCGGCCGGCTACCGTGATTGCTACTTTTCCGTGGTTTCTCCGATCAACACCATGCGAACGGCGGAGCAGTAAAAGCGATTAGCGATCTACGAGAAAGTCTTTGTCATTCTGCAGGACCACTAGTTTCTTGAATATTGGAAACTAAAAGCGATCAATCTGGGCGAACTTATATTTACGACTGATTACTTTTGGGTGCGTCAATTGCGAAGGCCATTAGTACCTTACGTGTAGTGCAACTTTTCTCGGGAGGATGCAGTGAGTTTTCCCATTGAATAGCGGAATCTGCCGCTGACCTACGTGTAGGCTTGGGAGGTTTCCCCGAACCAGGTATCCCCCAGCAACGGGGCAGCGCCCTTGCCGGAACAAGCGGTAAACTCCCGAATTGTTTCCCAGTATGAGTAAATAAAGGATGAGGATAGAACAAGAACAATAATGAACGCGCGTTTTCCGTGGCCCGTTTGTTAGGGTACTGCTCCGGCAATCGGCGAGTGTTGATCGGAGGAACCACGGAAAATAACCCATCGGAGCAGCCATCGCTAGAATTCCCGTCCAGCCCGCAGCTGAATTGGACGTAGCCACCCTGCCACCCTAGGGCCTCGCAGCCTGAGGCACTGAGCCAGCTCGGCCGGTGCACCACGCGAGCGCGGGCGGCGCGCGGGAGCCGAAGTCGATGAGGATGAGGACGCCGATGAGGACGAGGACGAGGAGTGTGCACGTGCGCGCGCTCGCGTGTGAGGTCGGCAGTTGAAATGGGGCTTTGATGGCTTGCCGGGCGCACGCACCTGTTTCCCCGCGCTGGCGGGGGGGGCGGGGGGGCGCGATGCTTCGGAGGGCGTTGCCCCGGCGCGACGGGCCGGGCGGCGCTCTGCGGCCACATGAAGTGGCCCCAGTGCGCCGCGCTCCGCTGGGCGGGCCGGCCTTTGAACCGGCGCCGCCGGAATGCGCCCCGCCCGCCGCCCGGGCGCCCCCACCGGTCCGCCGCGGCACCTCCACTAACTCTCTATTAACATTCACTACACCGACCGGAGCGACTCTTTCCTCTTCCGTCTTCCTACACACAAGCAACTACCTTGCATCATTTACATCTTTCACTTTTCCTAACGCTCAAGTTCGTCTTTGAACGCTTATCGGGTGTTGAGGGGAAAAAATCGAAATCTCCACTACGCGCGATCGCTTTTTGAGAACTCCCACGTCCTCTTACGGTCCCGTAATCACCCTGAAATCATTATTTCAGCATCTGTCGGTGTTAAGAACAGTTGTGCGTGCGCAGCAAATCGGGAATGTTGAACTAGTTCTTGGAAATAAAAACTCCATCTGTGGCCCCGTAGAAAGGAACGCGGGGACAAACTCGTGGGACGGCGCCCGCACCGAATGCTCCCGTCCTCTGAGGCGGCGGACGCAGTGGCCGAAAGTTAGGTAGACCGACGTTTTCGTCCGATCTGCCGGATTCGTTGAAACAGGTGATGGTAAACGGAAATGGTTACAGTCAACCCAAACGGTCTCTTCTGGAAACATCGGACGCAGGTGGCATTTTCCGTCAATTCCCCCCCACTACAGCCGCCGCCTTAGTGTTACTCAACAATTTCTTAGTCATAAAAAAATGTGTGACATCACTTAAAGACGAATTCAATGATGTTATGCAGGAAACACCCGAAAGACAAGAATCCATGTGGTGGAAAAATGGTTACGAAAGTTAGGATCTACCTTAAAGTTTGGAGCAGCAAGGATTCTCACATAAAATGAGATAGGTGTAGGGTATTTACACTTAATTTACATTTGTTTTTTCATAATTCAATTCATAATATTTATCATTAGTCGTTTTCTGCAATATATAAACGTAAGAACATTTTAGTTTAGCTTTATTGACTCCAAATAATATTACTATAAAAACATAGCTTGGATACATTGTTAAAATCAAAGCAATTGTACACAGCTGCTTCGATAGCGTCATTTCTTCATTTTCATTTTTGTTGCAGTTTGGTCGCGTTCTGCTTAAAGTCATTTAATAGATAAACTAAGACTAACCAAAGAAAAATTCCACGTGTATACTATTACGGAAAATCGAAACTCTCCCAAAATATTGTTTTTTGTTATTCAGAACTTAATGTAATTAGTGCTCAGAATTATTTTGTTTCCAAATACATTTTTTCTACATTATATTACAATTAGTTAAAAATCAACATTTTATTGTGAATTAGCCGTTGTTTACCTCTGTTTTTCTGGGTAAAGATTGGTCATATTTTCCCACCATGTTATGTTAAAATTGTTTCTACTGTAACTTTTATGGAAAATGTTTCGAGGAAAAGAGAGCGCGGAGGTGCTCAAAACTGTAGTTTTCCCCTCTGGTTTTAGAGTTTTGCGCGCCTCGGGAGTTTGAAGAAGAAGAAGAAGAGGGGCAACAACAGAGTGATGATATTAGTGTACAAGATACATTAAAGTAGTAGTGTTACAGTGTCAGAGTTTCACCTTGTTAATTACTAGTTTTTTTCTCCAGTCTAGACTATCTTTTCGGTTTTGTCCTATCATCTTCTGACCATTTGGTACAGCTGATCTATTGCCACCTAAAGTTTTTTCCCTCCAAATTTTTCAATTTTTCGAACAACTAAAACTAGAATTGAATTATGACTATAAGAATATTACAGAAGGGTAAAATATGTTATTATAAGCACATTTTAACTCAGAAATTAGGAGCCGTTTTCGAGAAAATATTTTTGAGGCGTTGCTGAAAATGGGCGTTTTGATGCTAATTTTCAACAAACTTTCGAATTTTTGAGAAACGTCATGGAAACTATTTGAAGATGTACTAAAAATGCAATAAAATATATGAAATTCTTGTAATGCAATTATTGACTACATGAGAGATACTAAAAAAACACTTTTGTTTAACGTGATATTTCCAGTCCCTCCGTGAATTTCAATAATTCGAGTATCTTAACACTTCCTTAATCTCTTGGCATGACAGGCAACTGTGCGTGAGGTTTGTGCACAGTTGAACTGACCTACATTCAGAACAATGATTTGATCCATCGAGATGGGCCAGTGGTACAGGCCACGTGCGATGGATGTCTTCACTCTCTTCACTAATTGCCCTCAGGGAACGGTGGTTACCACGGGTGGTCCTGCTGATTCCCTTAGACACCGATAGATGTCAGCGTGGGAGAGGGGCATAACCAAAAAGTAGCTCCAACTCAAAAGAAAATCGAACTAGTAAGAGAAAGTTCGTGGCATGTTCTAGTACAACTTTTTTACCGAGAGTTTTATAAAATGTTAAAAGAATAAGTAATTTACACAGTTTGTTCTTAGCTAAAAAAAATGATCATTTCTGTTACTTAGTTTCATTAATGTAGAGTAAAAAACTGATCGGAATGCAGTGACATAATGTGGACCCCTGTGTAGAAATATGCATATTATTTAGCATCGTGTACAATTTGCAGGCAGGGAATCTAAATAATACTGGAATAATACTTCCGAAAAAAGACAACGCAGATAAAAAGCAAACTACAAAAAATTTATTTACTTATATATCTTCGTATTGGTCCTCGGTGGCTCGTTAACGTGTTCGCTTTCCACGACGCAACCCCGAGTTCGATTCCCGCTCGGAGCAAAACTTAATTGTGCGCTTTCCTTGCAATGCCCCAGTATTTGTTGCTGCGTGACGATGAGAAAGCTCATTTATGAGGGTGAGAAAACCAGAAAGACAGCGTAGAGATGCCTCCGTGCTAAGCTGGCGTACCCTTTATAACCCATGGCCGCAAGGCCGGGACGCTGCTCATAGGCCTTAGCCCGTAAAGAGCTGTTGTGCCAAAGTACATACATACTTTCGTATTTTACTGCACAAAAACAGCTGCTTTTTACGATTTTTTCGGAAATATTTGAATTTACTCGGACCTGCCCTGAATGTTTCATTTTTCAGATCATTCACTGCTATGTCAAATGTGTGTCCTAAGGAAAAGTAAAATATTTTAGGTGCACACCATATGCCACCTATCATCTCAGTTTACTTAGAAATTTATGAATAGAGAACTGGATACGATGTATTTGGGCAACAACTATTGCCATTGAAGCACCTCCCAAGAGAAGACCTCCCAAGGTTCGAGTCCAGACATGTCAGGGCTTTAGACACTAGCTAAATAGCTAGGTCTAACAGTCAGCCGCTGTCTGGAGGAGAATTCTAGCAGCCAGGTGCTCTGATTTCCTGATTTCTCCGGTCAATAGCAGGTGAATGGCGCAGCAGTACCCTAACAAACAAGCCACAGGCGCGGTCTTTCCTTTCTCTTCCTTTTTCACCACATCGCCGGGAGGCCAGTCGGGAGTTTGTTTCGGCTGGAGCGGTACCCCGCAGTGGAGGCGCTTAAAGGTGGAAACACAGCAACCCGACGTGTGGTGTCTGCGCACGGTCAAGGACCCGTTTGCTCCGGCATTCACCTGGGATTGAGTGGAGAAAGCAGGGAACGCTACCGATCAGAGCAGCCGGCCACTAAAATTCTCCTCCTGACAGCGGCTGAATTACCGGGAGAGATGGCTCAGAACATCCATTGATGTCACTGCGGTGTCTCTGACCGGGAGATCCTAGGTTCGTGTCCCGACGGTGGACGGATTTTCGACACTAGCTTGTCTGGTAGGTCGAATTCAGTCTCTGGAGAATTCTAGTGGCCAGCTGCTCTGATACGTAGTTTTCTGAGGTTTCTACGATCAACACCAGGCGAATGCAGGAGCAGTACCCTAACAAACGGGCCACAGAGCGCGCGCGATCTTTCCTACCTCTTTCTTCAGTCAGGGTTTTGATCACATGACTAATAGAAGGAAGTAAAAGAAATGGATATTAGGAACAACCAAAACGTACAGCTGTCTATAATGCAGCTCTTAGTCTAAAATATTTTCCTCATGCGTGGAAAATGACGCAAATACTACTTTCTGTAAACCGAAAAAAAACACAATATTCTGAAAACTATAGATCCATAAGATTTTTTCAGATACAGGAAAAGTCTTCGAGAAAGCTGTCGACTAAAACATATTTGGAAAATCAAACCATTATCGACAAATAATTTGCTGCATTCAGGCCAACACGAATGCTGGAACAGAACCCTAACAAACGTGTCAGGGACCGCACGCGATCATTCCTTCCTCTCCCTTGTCATATCCTCACCCCTCATCCTATACACACTACCACACTTGCCGGGAGACCGGTCGGGAGCTTAGAGCTTGTCGCAGCTGGGGTGGTGCCCAGCTGGTGGGAGATACCTGCTTGGGGAAACCCCACTAGCCGCCGGTGTGGCGGCGCTTGATCTTGCCATACAGCGAGGAAACACCACCACCACATCCTGAGCAAAAAAGGACAACACTTACGGGACTAATGACCTTTGCAGTTGATACGGCTGGAATCACATCACCCCATCGCGGCTGAATTCAGCGTAGCTACTTAGCGAACGTTTGGACAGCTAGCGCGGGAGCGTGCGCTGTCCCTGGGCTGAGTCAGCCGGGCGCCGGCGTGGCGTGGCGTGGCGTGGCGTGGCGGGGCAGGTGCGGGCGCGGGCGCCGCGGCCGAGTGACGCGCCGGCGTCGGCATCCGGAGCTTCCGGGGCCGCCCGGAGCCGCAAATCGCCTTCTGGGAAGCGGCGCGCGGCGCCTGGCCAGCGCCCCTCCTGCGCCGCACGCGCGCTCACGCGGGGCGACGGCGAAGCGCCTTCGAGCAGCAGCTCTGTCTTTGCTGGCGCTGTGCGATCGCCGTGGAGGGAGACCGTGAAATGGCCGTTCTGTCTCGAATTTGATTGATTGATTGATTGGGGACCTCGGGCGAGTCAAGTGCTAAAGAAGGACATTGGTCCCGTAAGTGTAGTGCATGTTTCTTCCTCGGGAGGCGGCGGTGATCGTTCTCCGTTGAATGGTGAGATTCGACGCCGACCTATCGTCGGCTAGCATCGGTGGTCCCAACCCAGGTATCTCCCACTAGCGGAGCACCGCCCCAACCGGGAGAAACTTTAAGCTCCCGACCGGTTTTCCGGCATGTGTGTTAGTGTAGGCATGTTAGTATAAGTGATGAGGATAATACAA